GTAAGGGTTTTTTTATATTTAAAAATCTGTCTGATACTGAAAATCCGTTGTATTGTAAAATTCGTTATATCAAAATTTGTTATAAAAAGAGTTGACTGTATACCATTCATTCTTTCGAATGAGTAGCACCAGTAAGAGTATAAGAGACCATAATCATTACAACATTTAGTAAGGTGTAAACTTAAATGAATATTCAGCGTAACCATCTCTTATCCATAGTTCTCTTCAATTAAATGAGTAACCATTAACAGTAGAGAATAAGCTTCATCTAATGCATCATTTTCAATAATACGAGTTGTTAATATTATACAGACCCTTATGAAACTTGTTAAAATTTTCTGATCATCATCATCTAAAAGATCCCACATAATTGGGATTGCATAAACCATAATGAACATCTTCTATTGATCAGCTGTGAATCCAAAGAATCTCTTCCCAGTTGCTATTTTGTAGGGAATTCTTCCTAAGTCAGCAGGAATTTTTATGTTTTTTACACGTTTTCTATCAATTTAAGATCAGATTTTATTATCTTTCCTCTATTAATCCACAAACGTTTTACGATCTAATACGTAATTCTTAAAAATAAGTTATGCATCAGATCAACAACTAAAAATCAGATTAAATTAAAATATGATAGGCGTAACATTTCTGACCATCGAACATAAGTTCGCTTACGTGACTTTTTTGATCTTCTTTGTCTATTGATGCTTCCAAATTATCACATTACGACGATACTCTATAGCATCTTTTAGCCTAAACCATTCGTTAATATCATTGAATTCCCCAAAGTTTAGCCTCTGTCCTTCATTATCACTCATCCTCTTATAACATCTGTGACATCTAACTAACGCAGATATATGGCTACATAATTTTCTAGCAGCCAGTATATTGTTTGAGCAATATATCACTGCCAATCTGATATATTTTCCAGTTAGATGTTTATCTGATACAGACAAACTGAAACTATTCCAGAACTCTAATAGTTTGTCTATTATAGGAGCTATATAATGGTTGATTCAGTCTAATTTACTTCATTCAGTTCAGATAATAACCCTAATGTCAGCATATTTTCTCTCTTGAACCTTATACTATGTAAAAGATTACAAATAATACTGTAAATAGCTCTGCAGCTATAAACTGATGAATCAAATAGCTAAAACTAATCTAAATTGATCATAATTCTCAAGTTGAAATCAGCCATTTCAGAAGTAAAGAATTTGGAGAAATTTTGAGTGTCTATACTTAATAAAAACTCTTTTCATATATTTTTATCGTAAATATCTGATATAATACTGAATACACTATCTTGATTAGTCCATTCTCTTAAAGTTCTTCGAATCCTGGTTATTTATACATTGCTGCTAATTGTGTCTTTAAGCATAGTAATGGAAATACTATTTTCAGACGTCAGATATAATCATTATTTACTAAAACCTTCATAAGTAGTTCTGATCTACATGGTTTACTTTTATTCTGCATCAGATAGTGTAAAAATTTGACATTACTACATTTAAACCCGTTAAAATTGATGTTTGTTAAATCTTTAAGAATTATTTCATCAATGTTATATAACTTGTTACAATCAGTACAAGTGGTAAAGGTTTTTGATCTTTTTTTGATGTCCAATAACTTTCTAGTCATATATGCTGTTGATGGAAATTTTTTAAACTGGTTTGAATCAATATTTTTCAAAACAAGACTAAAGAACCCAATTAATGCATTGATTGTGATATCAGAAAGCTGAAACCTCTCCTGATATTTAAAGATCCAGAGAAGAATCCATAGATTATTTATATCTATGTTATTTTTCTGATCTGAATTATAGTTAAGATTAGCGAAACTGAAAGCTGCAAATAATTCATTATTGTTTAAAGGTAAGTCGTAATCCTCTAAATCTAGTTCGTCATCATCTAATTTATCAATCGATTGAAAACCTTCTTTATCACCAAATGAATATTCTTCATCACCAGTTTCTTTATCACTAGTTGAATCAACTTGTTTCTCATATTTTTTGCTTAGAATGATATTATTAGTCTTATGAAACTGATCATATCTTCTTCGCTTTTTTTCTGATACCAACTAATTTTCTAATAAAAATTTCTTTGTCAGATTAGTCATGATTGTCATCTATTATTACAGCTTCATAAGAATCATCAGAATTGAATTGAATTTCATCTAAAACAGGTATAGGAAAACAGACCGGTACTGAATCATCCTTTTCTTTGTCTTTGCCTTTGCTTTTCATCAATCTGTAGATTGAATCTTGGAACTGTTACTCTTCCTTTTCATATTTAATCCTGGTAGTTGTCTTTATAGTTTTACCATTACATAATTTGCATTCACATTGTACATTTGGTCAAACTTTTGTACGTCTTTTAGGCATTGATTTTGGATGTTTAAGCATTTCATTGAAAGTATAAATGGTTAGAAATGACAAGAATCAAACGTGCTGATTATAGATGTAAAAGTTGCACAAATTTGTTTGAATTTGTGTAGTAATGCAAATATATATCATACAAAAGCAATAATGTTGATCAAATTATTTTTATGTTTTCGTTATTATAATCAGAAATTTTAGAAGTTGTGAGAGAAAGTCTTTTTTTTTTGCATAAAGAAAACGATCAACCTTTTAAAATTTTTTTTTTTAAAAAAAATTAAATTAAATTTTTAGCTCTTGAACCTGTAACAATTGTGATCTGAGTCAATATGTTTATGCAATAAAACAATTACAAAATTTTCATATAATTATTACAATTGTTATGATTATACTTACGAATAAACTTATTCATGTATTAATATATATAATTAAATTTTTCATAAAATTGTTATAGCTTACCATTAAAAAGTATATTTCTTGATATACTTTTTGATCAATCATAATGAATATAAAAGAAATTTTAGACTGATTTTTTAAAAAAGAACAATCTTTTCTCTTGTCAGTTCTGATAAATATAAGAGAAATTTTAGACTGATTTTTTTTAAAAAAAAGAACAAACAATTGTCTTTATTAGAGGTTAGAACCGGTTATCGATATCGGATTTATAACTGGTTTTTATCGTATCGGATTAAAACTGGTTCAGAATTTTGTAAAATCGATAACTGATTATATTTATAATCGATAACCGATTTTTATCAGTTTATAGTATAGGAGTATAGATGACGGTAAATTCTGTCATTTTCATTTGAAAATCAATCACATACATACATTATTATGCA